GGAATTATGTTGTTATCTTGAAATATATTTTATATATATAACTTAAATTTTAAATTAAAACATAAAAAATTATTTATTTATTATATAACTAAAACAAATTTATATTTTTCTAAAATAAGATAATTCTTATGTATTATGTTGTTATGTTGAAAATATATTTTCCTATTATAAAACTTGATATTAAGATATTAAAATTATACTATTAATAATTAAATATAAATCATCAAAACAATTATCTGAAAAGTGAATTTATTGATTTGTCTTCATTTTCCTAGGTAATTTTGATCATTTATCACAATTTCTCTAATATTTATTATTACTAGGGTTGGCCCGCCCTACGGGCGAGATATTATATATTTTAGTTTATGAAATGTTAATTGTTTATATTTGTGATATTTTAAAGGTTTTATTTAAGTGTCAGACATTGTTATGTGACAAATGTATCATTTTAATTATTACTAACCTTGAAACTTAGTAATGTGTAAGGTTGGTAATTAAATAAGGGATATAAAGGAAGCAAAACTTCATTCTACACACGAAAAGTTTCAACTTGTATAACCATCCGAGCACTCTTCACACTCTCATACGGTTTTGCATATTAGCAAGAAATTACATCTACATCCCAAATAGAATAAGCACGGGGTATGTGAAGTTTATTACATAGTAAATAAACGGTGATGTGTTCTTAAGACTCTTTGACATAAACTGTAAAAAACATACTTTTGGTTGCCTGTCCTCATTATTGTCCTACACGCCGCGTCAGAATAATCCATTAACACGAAGAGAGTTTTTTTTTTTTTTTTTGTGAAGGCATTCAGCACGAAGAGAGTTTCGAGGATTCTTCCTATTCAACCATTATCGTACGACGTTACTATTCCCTGCAAAATCGATTTTCGTCAGGCTGAAGGAAGAGACCCAGTCCCATAAAAACTCAAAGATTAAAATAGATGAGCCTAGAGTTGTGTAATTGAGACAATCGCATGAAATTACACTTCTCATCATCAATAAATATATTCAACATGAAGAGAAAAGCTTACCAAAGAGGTGACTGTGCTTTTAGCCCCTTAGAAAATAAGGAGAAGGCATCCAAAGACGTATTGTGGTGGACGTTGTAACATAACCTAGTGAAGTATCTAAAAATAAGCTTTAGATATAACACACAAATTTTTAATACAGCTTTTTGATACCATCAGTCCATCACTCGTTTTGTGTTATTTTCACTAATCAAGATCACTAAAGAAACCATATTCATGAATAAGACGAATTGCTATGAAAATTTAGCCTGCCTTGGCAGAATTCACTGCATGGAAGTAGAAGGTTCGAGTACAGTGCATGGTAAAAAATATTACTGACAGTGTACTGATTGAACTTTGATATTTAAATTCTTCGACTGTATCTGCATGCATTCAAGATATCATTACATTATTATTTTTGGTTGTATTTAATTAATGAACCGAAACTTCCATGATAAAGCTTGAGAAGTTACATGTTTTCTAAAAAAACGGCACATGGGATTAATTATATTAAGGGCGTCAGTGGAAACATATGGGGAAGCTCTATTAAATCACTGCAATCTAAAAATAAAGATCGCAGCGAAATCATCTATATCCAGCTAGCACGACGATCAGGTACATACTTCATTGCCAATCCACTCTTTGCTAATTTTTTCTCCTAGAGCTACCCTCACTTGAAGCAGCTTGTTTCAGTTCTTCACCAGTATAAAACCAAATCCAGCACCTGTTATGGGAGTAGAATAACTACAGAACTCAAATAAAAGGTTTGAAATGGACATCGTTATGATAATAATGAAAAAAAAAAATGCAGTACAAAAGCGAATAGCATAGAGGATTCCCAAAAGTCCACATGAAGCCGTTACAGAGAGGTTGTTGGAGTCGTAGCTTGAATTCCTTCATGACATATCAGATGAAGCTGTCGATGAGGAAAAAGTTGTAACCATCCTTTACATCCTGCATGAGAAAAGGAAAAAAAAAAAGGTTTATATTATACGCAACTTGTTTAGTGGAAAAGAAACATGAACATTGTGTAGGAACATGAACATAGCTCCACTTAACTTTGTTTAGAGATTTTAATATAAGTGTGTTTCAAAAAAAAAAAAAAACATTGTGTAGTAAACTAACCTGTTGAGCAATACAAATGAAATCCATGAATGTCACCTGGAAAAAAAAACATTAAAAATCAGTGTGACTTTAAGAGACCAATGAAACACATCAGCATATCTGTTCTTTGTAAAAAAAGACTTCGTTTACAAAAGCAATCCTAGGTTACATCAAGCGGCTACTATACTCAGCTAATCCTTGCAAAACATAGTTTAAGCTCTTTTAACTTTTCACCATGTCTCACCCAGAACTTAGTGCAATTCAAGTGATCTTTATGAGTCCTTTAACTTCTATCTGTTAGAGATGATCTGCTGCAATCAGATGATAGATTAGACATATCTACCTCTCTAGCCACTTCACAAATCCACCAAAATTTTCTTCATTGTCTATAACCTAACCAAACACACAATCACATTATGGGTAGAACCAATTCAGGCTTCACAAAACCTACTCAAAACAGAAGCAAAAAAAATTCTTTGGGGGAACTGATCTAAGAGAAAAAACGGTTACAAAATCAGAGAGCCATGAAAGCAATCATGCAGGACTTTGATTACAAAAACAAAACAAAAAACAAAAAATAAAACACACAGAGCGACCAAAAGGAAAAGAGATTGATAAGATTCTGGTGAATCATGTGAACATGGCTCAACGCCATGAGAATTAAAAAGGAAGAGGGCCTTTAAGTTACGTTATGTATATCCAAAAAACTAACCTTTTGTGGAGCTGATAGAATTCTAGAATTCTAGAATCCAATTCAACATGTGAATCAGAGGACTTGTTTTCTCTTATATCATTTGCGTAGACGTTTTTCTCATCAGAGAGATTGAGCTGGAAGGGTGCCATTGTTGGAGCTCGGGTTTCTCAGCGAGAAGTAGGAATGTTGTGGAGTGATTGATGAAAAACACCAAGCTGTTCATTCCTATTTATAAGAGTAGATTGTAAGAGAATAACAATGGAAGAAAGACATAAAAATGAATTTAGTTAAGAAGATCTTAATTACATAAGTTGAATGTCATTGTGAGACGTTACAGTTTAGTTTGGAAGTGGTAAGCGTTTCGTCAAGGCCTTAGAAGTTCAGAGAGCTTGAGGAAGTGGGAAAGGTGATCTGAAGAAATTAATGGTGATGTTTAATAACATAATAGTTTTCAATGTTTCCGTGAAGCGTGACGTTTTTGTGAGGGTTTCAGAGACGACGACAGTGATTCACGGGAAATAGAGTTGGTGGGCCAAATTGGCAACATTTAAACCACAAAAACATTTAAAGCATATATAGAAGAGTTAGTAATTAAAGAAGAAAACCCAAAATCTTTGAAAGCCCATTTGCAAGATTTGGAAATAGAAGAATGGACGAAACCGTGTGCTTTAAACTGACGTGGCAGCAGGAAATTAACCCAATTAATGACGTGGCAGACTCACATGAGTGAAAAGCCTTCTTTATAATAATAGATAGATAGATAGATTGATTATATAATTAAAACTAATTTATAATAACAATATGATATTTTAGAAAATAAGTTAATTCTTATGTATTATGCTGTTATCTTGAAAATATATTTTCTATTGTAAAATTTAAAATTAACATGTAAAAAAATCTATACAATTATTTAAGAAATGAATTTAATGTTTTCTGATTTATCATATTTTCCATGATTTTAGGTAATTTTGATAGTTAATAATAATTTCTATAATTTATTATATATTTAAAACAAATTTATATTAATAGCATCAGATTCTTAGAAAATAAGATAATTCTTATGTATTAAGTTGTTATCTTGAAAAATATATTTTTCCATTAGAAATTTAAAATTAAGATATAAAAAGTTGTAGTTATTCTATAATTGAAATAAATTTACACTATTAATATTCTACTTTTGGAAAATAAGGTAATTCTTTTGTATTATGTTGTTATCTTGAAAATATATGTTTATATAATTTAAAAGTAAAATAGAAAATATATATTATTAACTAAATTTAAATCATCACTCAAGAAAAATTATTTAATAAGTGAATTTTCTAATTCATTAAGTTCTCCATGATTTTAGGTAATTTTAATTATATGTCCTAATTTCTATATCTTATATTTTTTGTATCATATTATATTTTTAGACAATAAATAACTTATGCATTATATTGTTATCTTGAAAATATGTTTTTCTATTATAAATTTTAAAATTAAGATATAAAAAAAAATAATTAAATGTAAATTAAGTAAAAACATTTGTATAAATATTATAATTAAATATAAATCAAGAAAAATAATTATAGAAATATATTATTTTAAATATTTATGATGTTTGAGTTGTGTCATTGATAATTATTTGATATTTGATTTGTATTTTTTGAAAACATAAATAATAATTTATTATGATGATGGTTTTTAAATTAATGAAACATCAACTAATAAATATTCATAAGAGAATTAATGCCCGCAAATGCGAGCAAAACAACTAGTTTCAAATAATCCGGTAATTTATGTAAAATATTAGGTGTTTTGGGTAAACTATCGAGTAATTAGGATGATTTGGATAAAGATTTTAGATAATTCGAGTTATTTGGGATTAAATATTGAATATTTTCAGATAATTTTGGGTAGTTTGGATATTCTTTTTGTTAGTTTAGTTTTATTAAATACTTTTGGATACTTAGATTTTAAATTATATAATGTATTTAGTTATGTTATGTTATGTATATATAATTAATATTTGTATATATTCGAGTATTTTTTTGGTTCTTAGTTCCGATATGATTCGGTTATTTCGGATATAGAAATATTGAAATTGTTCGGGTATTTGAGGCTTTCAATCCGGTTATGATTATTTTGGTTCGGTTTCTGTTGGGTTTTCGATTCTGTTTTTTTTTTCTACTCTGGCTTAAACCGAACCAATGGTATGGTCTTGATTCGTAATAGTTGTTATACTGATTTTTTTTTTTTTTTTGAGAAATGGTTTTATAGTTCTTAATGGGTTTAAACTGGCAACGTGCAGGCTCATGTAAGAGGTTATCAAGTTAGGAAAAACTACAGGAAGATAATTTGGTCCGTGGGGATATTAGAGAAGGTGATACAGCGTTGGAGAAGGAAAGGAGCTGGTTTGCGAGGGTTTAAGTCAGACGCACTTGTTGATAAAATGCAAGAAGGAACAGAGAAAGAAGAAGATGATGATTTCTTCAAGCAAGGTAGAAAGCAAACAAAGGAAAGGCTTCAAAAAGCTCTTGCAAGAGTTAAGTCAATGGCTCAATATCCTGAAGCTAGAGATCAATACCGTAGATTACTAAATGTGGTCAACGACATCCAAGAAAGCAAGGTAACAAACTAACCTCACTATTAGTCTTTTGATTTTGAGGTTAATCTTTGTGTAAAGAAGCTTGATGTTTTCTTTAAGGTTGAAAAGGCTCTTGAGAATTCAGAAGAAGCAACTTGTTTTGATGATGATCTAACAGATATTGAAGCATTGTTGGGAGATGATGACACTTTGATGTTGCCTATGTCCTCAACTTTTTAGAACACTTGAAACCACTCTCAAGCCTACTATGAGATATTGTCACAGTTAATTGACCTATTAAACTTGTAAATTTGTATGTGATCACTCTTATCACGTTCTGTAACTGCAACATTATTACTCTAGTTTATATATCTGACAATATAAACACATATCAACTTCTAACCAAATAGTGTAATCTTTCTTGTCATTAAACTGTACATGGCTGGTTTCATTAGTATACGAACTTCAGTTTATTCTAGTCAAAAGAAATGACTTTGATTTAGTCACAAGACATGTCAACCTTGTTCCGAGGTTCTCGTAGAACAAGATGTAGCCATAGGCAGTACTCTTCTGATGAATTAAAGAATGTAACACTACAAGAAAACAGAAGGATACCGACGGCCAAAACCGTCGGAAATCCGTCAGAATATGCGTATTCCGACGAAAATGTGACGAAACGGTTCGTCGGTATCATTTTGTCGGAAAAAATAATTTCTTCGGAAATTCGTGAAACGTTTCGACAGATTCTGACGAATTCCGAGAGAAGGTAATTCTGACGAACTACCGACACTTCGACAGAAACTATCATTGGAAATCAATCGGTATATGTCGAGAGGAATCCATCGGTTTATTCCGACGACGTAGTTCGTCGGTATATTCCGACGACATTGTTCATCGGTATATTCCGACGACATTGTTCATCGGAAATTGCTATTTAATTATTAAATATTTTTTTATATATTAATTATGCATTTTTAAATTTTTGTTTTAAATTCGTAAATAAATGTAATTTGAAATTAAAAACTTATAATATTATAGAAATTAAGTTTACACAAACTGATAATGAAAAAAAAAACATTCAGAAAGTTTTAAAACACAAAAAAACTAAGAACCCGAAGGAAACAAATGATCTAGCCTCGCCAATATGTCGAGGTTCATTTGCTTTTGATCCGCGAGCTGAGATAGGATTGTGGCGTTCTTCTCCTCCAAAGCACCAATCCGTTGATCTTTTTCCTTTAACTCCTCCAGAATCATGGGATCGGCATACGAGAATTGTGAAGAAGAAGAAGAAGCCGAACATTCATTAACCCGACGGGCCAACCCAACCAAACGGCCTTTCTTTTTAGGAACCGCCTAAAAAATTTTAAAGTTAGTAAAGGAAAATATTATAAAACCAATATAGTAATGAAAAAAAATTACCTTTTCGACCATCTCGTTTATTTGCAGTCGAGACAAGTTGGTTGAAGCTCCCGTAGACTCCTCATCAGTGATAGGCTGAGAAGCTAGGAAAGCTTCTTTTTGAGATTCCACCATCTCAATGACCTCTCTGATGACGGGGTCCTGAATTTCACCCGTCTCCTTGTTAGTGTATGCCTCCTTGATGACTACAAGATGATCAACGGGATTACCGTTGTTTGCTTCGACCTAAAAATTAGCCAGGGAATATATAAAATTGTTTATTTTTAAAAATATAAATATAAATAAAATATAAAGGAAAAAAGTAAAACTTACAAGCTGGTCCTCTTTAGAGGACATAGAGCAAGCACCGAGGTTGTGCACATAAGCGCCTTTGCCGCCACAATCACTTTTCTTGTTAAGTGAGTTCTGATTTGACCTCACTATATTCTCGCCCTTCATCCAGTGGACCATCAAATCTTCCCACACCTTCCTGTTAATATTTCGTGGCCTCTTGTTCTTCAGCCATAGTTGCTTCCACTCGTATATCTGCTTCGTATAAGAAGACATCGCCTTTTGGTTGAATCTCTGACGGATTGTTTCCGTGCGGATAGACTCCCAATTAAATTCTTGCTACAAAACAAACATGAATTAATTAGTAAATATATATAAAAATCAAAATAGAAATACGCTTAAAAAAAATAACTGAAGAGTTACCGCGAATTGGCGAAACCACAACTCGCGTTCTTTTAGAGGGATCACACTCCACTTCGGATATCCCTGACGGAGCATGGAATACATCATCTGGTTGATGCTTTGGCTAATGCCATTGCTCGACTTGTTGAACCTTAAAAAAAAACTATTGTTAGAAAGTTAAATGGAAAAAAATGTAAATAAAACAAAAATACTAACCAAGTTGTATGTCCCCGTCATGGGTTGGGATGAAGAACCAGAAGATGCTCCCGGCCTGGTTGTTGAACGAGTTGTTCAACTGTCATGACGCCCGGCTCGTGTGGAGCAGCTGCAGCGGGAGAGGCAGCGGCAGAGGCAGAGGGAGAGGCAGCGAAGAGGTAGCGGGAGCGGTCTCAGGAACTGGAGACGAGTTTTGTTCGTGAGATGATCCCGATGGACGGGAATTGCTCACCGAACTAACTCGGCCACGAGGTGCGGAACGACGATGAGGTGCGGAACGACGAGGTGCGGGAAGAGGACGAGGTGCGTAATCGTAAGACCTACATAAGAAATTTCAGTGTATCAGACAAATAAAAAAAATCTAAAATGATCATAACATAAAATAAAAATACATGTATTGTAAGTTTTTTAATGTTAAATAATATAGAAAAGGTTCTTAAGTATATAAAATATTAAAAAATATCTAAAATGGTCATAATATATGTATAAAAATTCTTAAATTCTAATTTTTTCACATAATTACAAATTTATCTAGAAAAAGTTGTTAAATATTAAAAAATAGACATTTATAAATATATAAAATTAAAACAATTGTAGAAAAAGTTCTTAAGTATATAAAATATTAAAAAATATTTAAAATGATCATAATATATGTATAAAAATTCTAAAATTCTATTTTTTCATATAATTACAAATTTAACTATAATTTATGTAGAAAAAGTTCTTAAGTATATAAAATATTAAAAAAAAAACGTTTTTAATAATTATAAAAAACAAGAAAAACGTTTATAAAAACATTTAAAAAAGGAACTTTTTAAAAAATAACAAATCTAACAAATCTGAAAACCAAAATCAACAATCTAACAAATCCTAAACTATCCATTCAATCCTAAACATGCAAATCAAACTACCTTAAATCCTATAATCTAACTTCCCAAACCCTAAATAATTGAAAGGGGAAATGAATTTTACATGATTTGTGGGTGTTTAAGAGAGGTCCGACGCCGTCGGAATTCCTTTTCGTCAGAATCCCTTTTCGTCGGAATTCCGTCGGTCCAAAATTAATTGGCGGTTATCTCAAAATTTCACGCGGTTTGGGTTCCCGGGTTAATAAATTACCCATTCGTCGGAAATCCGTAGGAATATCCCGACGGATTTCCGATGAATGATGAATACCTTGAATGAAACCCTATTTTGTCAAAATCCGTAGGAATATCCCGACGGATTTCAGACGAACTTTGATATTTAAAAAAAAAAAAATTAACGAAAAATAATTTAGAAAAGCATAACTAAAAATAAAAATAAGTCTAATAAGTTGTTCCTAACCAGAATCTTCAGAATCAGTAGAACCATCTTCAGAATCTTCGTCAAACTCGCCAACTTTCGCTTCTGCCTCTGAGTGTACAACAACATCATCTCCAAAGTCCGTAAAATCTACAATGAGCTCAACCTCTGCCACATCTTCAGTTGGATCAACGTTGCTGGTCGTGTTTGGTTGTAATGGGTCATTATCAGAACTTCCATGTACTATGCCTCTTGGGCTGACTGACGACACAGTGATCCATGGATCATCTCTGTACGTAACTCGAGGATAACTGATATAGCAAACCTATAAAAAATTATTAAATTAATAATGTGATAAATTATAAACTTTTTGTATTAAAAGTAACATACATATATACCTGATCGGCTTGCGAGGCAAGAATGAATGGATCATAATATTGAAGTTTCCTTCGAGAATGAACCGATGTAACACCAAATGCGTCCGTCTTCACTCCTCGATCTGGGGTGTTATCATACCAATCACAATATAATACAGTACACCGCAATCCAACCATCCCGGGATACCTGATTTCCAAAATTTCTTTTATGTTGCCATAGTACACATCGTCACTAGATGAAAACAAAACACCAGCATCAAAAGTTGTCTTCGAATAGCCTTTCCTTGTGAACGCATATCCCCGAGTACAATATCTTGGATATGATCTGGCCATATAGTTAGGTCCCGCACCATTTCGCGCAACCAATCATCGAAGATTTCACCTCTGGCCAAACCTTGAGTCACCTAAAATACGATCAGAACATGTAAGTGATAAGTTAATCTATTAAATATATAAATACTTAAAATCTCATGTACACACTCACATAATTAAGTAACCATCCAGCAAATCCATTATGTATGAGGTGTTGAAGCTCCTCTTCTGTGGCATGTTTGTAAGTCAAGCGCAGCTCTGCCATATAAACACTATATATACCAAAATGATATTAATAATCTGAAAATAAAAGTTATTCAATATTTTGAAAATTTAAATGAAATTAAATATATACCTCTCATATTGTAGAACCTCTTCACAGTTGGTGAGCAAATATGTGTGCAAATGAGCGTGCTCCGTCTCTGTAAGTCTCCGCTTTGTGGATTTTCCACTAAGTCGTCCAATTTCCTTGAAGATGGTCGGAACACTAACATAATATGTTTCCCTTTCCCCTCGATCATCATGCCGACTAGGTCGGCGATTTTTAGTTTGCACTTCTCCTGGAAAGTATCTTTCAGCAAATTTTGCACTTTCTTCATTGATCACCTGTGCGATAATAGATCCTTCCACCCTGCTGCAATTCTTGATCTTCTTCTTCAGATGATGCATGAAACGCTCAAAGATACATCCATCGATAATTCACAGGACCACCAAGCTCCAAATCTCTTACGAGATGAATAACAAGATGTTCCATAACATCAAAAAATGTTGGAGGAAATATCTTCTCGAGGTTGCACATGATGATGGGTATTTTATCCTTCAAATTCCTAATACCCTCTGCAGTGACTGATATACTGCATAAATCGCGGAAGAAAGCACTAATCCCTGTATAGACATAAATGTAAAGAATTGCATAAGTTCTTAAATAAACATAATAAATAAATATGTTAATCAATTTTAGAAAATTAAAAAATACGATACCTGCAATTGCTTCATGAACATTTCGTGGCAATAATGATGAAAAAAAAACGGATGGAGGCGCTGCATCATTACATGACAATCATGACTCTTCAACCCTGTAAACTTTCCTTCACTTCTATCGACACTGTTACGCAAATTTGATGCATAACCGTCTGGAAATGCCACTCTATCTGTAATCCAATCAAAGAAATCCTCTTTTGCAGCTGCATCCAGACGGTATATGGGAAAAGGATCCACTCCGTTCTCATCAACATGAAGTTCAGGACGATCACAAATATCGATTAGATCCAATCGTGAGTTCAAATTATCCTTCGTCTTACCTGGGATGTTTAGGATTGTGTTCATCAAATTGTCGAAAAAGTTCTTCTCAATATGCATGACATCCAAATTATGCCGCAACAGATGATCCTTCCAGTATGGCAGATCCCAGAAGATACTCTTTTTGTGCCAATTGTGTAGTTGCCCAACACCGTCGATTCGAATATTTTCATGTCCACCAACGTCTGGCGTCCTTTCTGCACCAAAATCCCTTAACTGTGTCAACAAATCTTCTCCACTAACTTCTTCAGGAGGACTGTCAGAGACCTTCTTGTTCTTCGTAAACAAAGTCTTACTCCTACGATATGGATGCCTAGTGGGAAATCTCCTGTGACAATCAAACCAACACGTTTTCCTTCCGTGCTTCAGTTGGAAAGCATTTGTGTTTTCTTGGCAATATGGACATGATAGCCTCCCATGTGTTGTCCATCCAGAAAACATTCCATATGCGGGAAAATCACTTATTGTTCACATAAGTACTGCCCGCATCTAAAAGTTTTCTTTGCACGAAACATCGTATGTCTCAGCACCATGCGCCCATAATTGTTGCAACTCATGTATCAGTGGCTGAAGGAACACATCTAATGATCTCTTAGGATGCTCTGGCCTGGGGACAAGTATGGAAAGAAACAAAAACTCTCGTCGCATGCACAAATTCGGCGGTAAGTTGTACGGTGTCATAATCACCGGCCATAGAGAATATTGTCTTCCATACTTTCCAAATGGGCTGAAACCATCAGTACATAATCCAAGATAAACATTTATTCTCTCTTCCAAAAATTCTGGATATGTTGATTGGAAATGTTTCCAAGCTTTTGCATCTGAAGGATGTCTAGTCTGACCATCTGTGGAGTGCTCTGTATGCCATCTCATTGGTTTGGCTGTGCGTTCTGACTGATACAACCTCTTCAGTCTTTCTGTCAAAGGCAAATACCACATCTTTTTGAATGGCACCGGAACTCTTCCTCTCGTATCCTGATAACAAGGTTTCCGACAAAATTTGCATTTATCCTTGTTCTCATCTTCTCCCCAGTACATCATGCAGTTGTCGATACATACATCTATCACTTGATACGGTAAACGAAGACCCGCTACAAGTTTCTGAACCTTGTAGTATGAACCCGGTGCAAGATTATCCTCTGGTAGAACACCTTTAATAAAATCAGCAATCGCATCCACGCATTCTTCAGCCAAATTATAATCTGTCTTAATACCCATCAATCTAGTTGCAGATGATAAGGGTGAATGACCATCTCTGCAACCTTTATACAAAGGTTGTCTTCCTGCATCCAACATATCAAAAAATCTCCTAGACTCTGCACTGGGTTCCTCCCCTCTATAATGGTCATGTACCATCTGCTCAGTACCAACACCATAATCTACATCCGTTCTAGGTTCTTCTACCCTATCAACAGGCTGATGTTCACTACTACTACCATATTCATAACCAGTTTCTCCATGAAGATACCAAATCTTATAATTCCGTGTAAACCGTCTCAAATATAAATGTGACCAAACATCCCATTCCTTTATAATCCTACTATTATTGCAAGAAGAGCAGGGACATCTTAAAACATACCAGTATTTGCTTCCAGTTGTTGTTGAACAAGCCTCATAAATTCTCCAATACCTTCCTAGTATTCATCCGTAAGCATTTTGGTGTTTGGATCCATGTGAGGTTTATCCATCCAAGAACGAAAAATAATTTCTAGAAGACATTTTTCTTTCGGATTTATAATGAGTAAAGAGAAGAGTGAAGAGTGAATGAGGTGAATGAAGAGAGGTTATATTTATAGAAAATTGCTTACGACAATCCGACGGTATTCTGACGGAATTCCGACGACTTTTTTAAAAATTCGTCGGAATTCCGTCGGTATTTTTAAAATATAAACGGCTATAACACGGTCATATTCTTGTCGGCAACGGTCAAAAAAAGTCGTCGGAATTTCGTCGGTATATACCGACAAAATTCCGACGACTACAACGGTAATATAATTTATCGGACTGTCGTCAGACACTTCCGGCGAACCCAATTCCGTCAGAAATGCGTCGGAATATTCCAACGAATTTCCGACGACGTCGAGTTTTTTGTCTTTATCGGTATGTCGTCGAAAAGTCGTCACTTTTGTCCGACGATTTTGTTGTTCGTCGGAGACTCCGTCAGAATTTACCTTGTTTTCTAGTAGTGTAAAGCACATTCTGCTATCGTTTCAACATTCTCATCATCAAAGAAGAGCCAGTGGTTATGAGATTTGACAAGGCTTTCATAGTGAACATGGTTAGGCCCGTTTCCGACATGAACCACAATTCCTAAGAGAGAGAGAGAGAGAGAGAGAGAGAGAGAGAGAGAGAGAGAGAGAGAGAGAGAGAGAGAGAGAGAGAGAGTGCTCATTGACTCTTCCACTGTGTTGCTGAGCTTTAGTTCCAGTTGAAGACAACTCTGTGGAGCAGAAGTTTTTCACACAGCTAGTTATTGAACTGTTCTGTTCAATAACAAGGCTTAGGTCTAGGAATGTCTCATCTCTTGCTGTTACTGTTTCACATCGTAGACACCTTGTCTAATTGGTAAGTATACCCTGTAATGAGTTTGCACTTTGCACATGATAAAACACTTGAGATCACTTTTATGATGCTGGTTCGGTTAACTCTGGTTTACTCTAGAGAGTTAATGAAGCTTACTACATCTACACTAAGGGCAACTATAAACTTACGACTAAATCTACCTTTTCGCATCTATATCTAGTATCAAAATGAAAGCCAAAATGCACTGATCCTTACCTAAAAAGTCTTCTGAACCCATGTAACAAAAAACATTTAAGTAAGCAATCGTAAAATATCAAATACAAATTTACTGAATCAATTTTTATAGAAAGAAATATTATTGATATATCGATTTTTATAGAAAGAAATATTATTGATATATCAATTTTTATAGAAAGAAATGTTATTGATATCACACAAAATCTTTCTTTGTGGAACAAAGAAAAAACCCCAAAACGGAGGTAGTATGTTTTAGAAGTCAATCTAATTATTTTTAAAATTATAAGAGTTAGTTTAATCAGTTTATGAATGATTAGAGGTAATCTCCTATATATTAAAGAGAAACATTTGAAAAATTGTAACCTCAATTTTGTAATAATTAAAAAAGAACTCATGCTAAGGTGTCACTCAATTATGTAGTCAATTACATTCAATTGAAAAATAAGTAGGTCCACATTCGATTTTTATGTGTCACTAGATACATTTGTTAATCAAACTATATGATATGATGATATGATATGACATTTATGATAGAAGGATTTATGATTGTTCCACTAGATATAATTACTATTTAATTTTCTTCCCTTAAATAAAACCTGCAGAATTACCATAAATGACTAATATACATATATATGACAATTAATGTTTCTAATAATAAATATTTGATAAAAATTTATATCTCCTCCATCATTTTTCTTTAATTTTATATTATTAAATTAAATTGAACAAACTAATTAGCTATAAAATTAACCTTTAGATTTTTTCGTATATGTTATATTTTAAATTTTTAAAAACGATAATAAATGACTAAAACTATTAAAATTATTATGTTAAAAATTAATGATCAATAGCTTAACATTTTTATTATAAAAAGATACACATGATTTTAAAACTGTATGAGTAAAAAGTATCATTTAATAATAATAAAAAATATATATATATACTGATTAAACTATATACCATATAAGATTACATAATTATTTTAATTTAAAAAATTTCAATGAATTTTCAAGAACATCTATAAATTATAAACTTATTAACTTTTTCACACTGAAAAATTTTGTTATCAATGATTTAAATATCTTAGTTCTTTTTTTAATTTTATATTTTTAAAAATATAAAAAATCGATAATATGATTATTGTTGGCATATACCATACAAACCGAATGGATGTGATTTTAAAAAAAATCTTAGAATTTGGATATGGTTTGATTTATAACCAATTAAACTGAAACATGTAAATATGTATATCTATTTGTTACATGAGTTGAACTATAATTATAATTTGTAAATCACTTGAATCACTTGAACTATATTTAACTAACAATTTACTGCAACTAGGGGTTCTTATTTTCTTGATATTTTTTTGCTTTTTTTTTATCTTTTTTTGCTTTTTTAACAGTAACTAAATTGAAGTAAAAATTATAAATTTGATAGACAACAATAAGCTGAAATTCTTTGCAATTTTTTTTATCTTTATACAAACAGAGTTGTGTTCAGTCGAAGACATATTAAATTGATGAACACTAACTATGGAAGAATATAAAAACTTTCCTTTCATGCTTTTGTTTTGTTTTTTATTTTTATTTTCAAAATTTAGAGATTTGATATTAATTCTAAATTTGATCATTTTATTATATGATAGAAACCTTTTTTGTATTTTAATTATTTTATTTAAATATAGAATATTTTTTAGTAAATGACTTTGAGAATTTGACTCTAAATATGATCATATTATTTATTTTTATAATATATAATATGATCTCAAACTAAATAATTATGTTTTTTGGTATAAAATTAAATAAACTGAAAACCAATATATAAACCAAATCAAATTGAAGTAAATATGAATTTAGAATAGTAGTTATATTTTAAAAACTGAAATACCAAAAAATCGAACCGAACCGAAATCCGATATCCGGATTGAACACCTCTAATCCAAATGAAACCGAATTATTGTTTCATTTTCCAAAACATAATAAAAATAATAATTTCATCCCACGCAAGACGCGGATCTTATCCTAGTTTCTCTTAATTTTAAATATTTTAAAATTATGATTACAATAATAAACTTTATAAGGTCACATGTCATAATCTCTTCATGTCGTCTTTCTTTTGACAACCAACCTCATCTCCATCTATCCGTTGTCGTAATCGTTTCTCCAATATTCTCATTATTTTTATTTTATTTTCTTACAGAATCTTCACTCGTAGCAGCCTAAGGCATCTTCAATCTACACACCAAATTTGGTGTGAAAAAACACTAAACTTAGTGTTTTGCTGTTTCACTTTCTTTTTCATCTCTAACCATAAACACCAAATTCCACACCAAAAAGAATATTCTCTATTATCTTATATATTAAAACAGAAGTCATGACTTGACTTCATATGTGGTTTTTTAAAAAAAATGGATTATTACTAAAAAGTCATGTTACATTAACTCTTTAATAATCTTATTATTATTATATCTTATGAAAAATCATATCTATAATAACAGAGATACGTTTAACAATTTGGTTTAGGTAAATTACCCCACACTTTTCAACTTAGTCACGAAAAATATGTCAATAGATATAAGTTTAGGAATCTTCTGTTATTTATAAGGAAATATGTCAATAATAGTTAAATACATCCATAATATATTAACAAAAATCACAGATTCGTAATATGGAATATTTATATACCGTAACAAAATTTACACGCTATATATACTAGATAAATTTATTTCAATGTAAAATTTTAAAATTCTATATTTTTTTAAAAAAAGAAACTGTTAAAAAAAATTCTTTTTTAATAAAATTCTTTATAATATTAGTTTATGAAGCTATAAGTTTAGTAGCAAAAATTTCTTCGAAGTTTAAATTATCTTTGCAAATTAAAGTATACTAATATTTAATCAAGCTTTATTTATATTACTTTATATAAAAATGAAATACTAATCTAACAAACAATAAACTATAGAAGAAGAAACAAACACATGTTTAAAAATCATGTATAATATAGAAAATTTGAAACAATCTATTTGATTAAAACACGTATTATATAATATTATTATGTTTGAAAAATATTTACTATACATATCGTAAATATGTGATTACTATAATATATACCAATTTACAAGTGAAAACAAAATGTTTATATAACTAATTATAAACGAAAACAAACATCCGCACGGTTGCGAGAGTCCAAATCTAGTTATAATATTAAATTTAGTTTGCTGTTTATTTTTTAATAGTTTTAATAATTAATTATTGTTTATAAAACTGATTAAGTAATAAATAAAATATAAAATTCCAGTTGATAAAAAAATAAATATTAATCAATAATTTGAAAACTGAAGAAATTAATTGGAATAATTTATTTAGTTTTGGTAAATAATAATAATTTAGTAATTAATTAAGAAAGATAAAGATTACAAGCCGTTAAAATTTATATTTTGTGTGTTTTATATGTATTTTTTTATTATGTAATCTTGTGTGTTTGATTTTAATTAGTAATTTTAGGTGTATTTAATTTTAATTATGTAATTTTATGTGCTTTTAATTTTAATTATGTAACTTATGTGTGTTTAATTTTAATTATGTAATTATATGTTTTCATTAATTTATTATTTTAGTTGATGGTATTTATTTATATTTTTAATTAATTTGCTTATTAAGATATGTTAAAAATATAATTAACTGATATATATTTATTTAAATATATTATTTTAAAGTAAAAATAAGAATAAAAAATTATTTATGTCGTTGGGTTTACAGTTCGGTTGGAAAGTTAAGAGTATCTCCAAAAGACTCTCTATAACTTCAAATATAGAGTTTTTTGCTCTCCAAAAAGAAACTTCAAAACTTCAAATTTGAAGTTTTTGGGAGTGAAACTTCATATTTGAAGTTTCACTTCTCAAAACTTCAAATTTAAAGTTTCATCTTTTTATTTGCAATTTGGTCCTTATATTTACATATCTTATTTATGATTCTTAAGTATTTTATTATTTATCATTTTAATCTTTAAAAAACATTATATCTCACAAATCTTTAAATTTATTTCTATAAATTAAGTTTTACACATAAGATTAAATAAAATAAAATAAAAAAATTTATATTATTTTAAAAGTAAAAATAGACAACAAGAATATTACAAAACAAACTTAATTAATTTTTTTTTAAATGTACATAAAAACATAATTATTATAGAAATTTAAATATTACAACAATACTAATAATCTGATAAATCTTCCCCGGAAGCTCCAAAATCTTCAAATCCAAACAAGTTTTTTTACTGGAAGAAATAGATATTGCATGATATAATGACGGCATGCATTATAATGTATAACATGATAATTGAGGATGAACGTGATATTAATGCGCCGATAAAAGATACAAGATCAGTGGCGAAGCAAATGTTGATATGGCAGAAAATGAAGATATCCGTTTTCAGCAATTTTTAGCTTGTAATCTACAAACTAAAAATAAAGAGAATCATTTCTTACTTCGAATTTCACTAGTTGATCATATATGGGAACATTACAGAAATAATTTTACGGAATAATGTGGTATTTTGCTTGTATTTTAGTATTTAATTATATATTTCTATTTCTTGTTTTATATTTTCATGTAAACTTTTATTAATTAATATTGTTGAATATTTTTATTATGTGTTTACTATTTATCAAAGTTTTATGGATATTTATTTATTATGAAAATATAAGGATTATAATGTAATATACAAATAATTTTTAAGTTAGTTTTGAAGTTTTTCTTTTGGAGAACACTTTGAAACTTCAAATATAAAGTTTGTGAAACTTCAAAATAGAGTTCCTTTTTGGAGATGCTCTAAGCAAGTCATATTTGACATTATTCCATTCATTGGAGTTGGCCTTATAACTCAACCAATCACGGTGCGTTCACCAACCCCCTTCATGTCTTTTTTCTTTTGACAACCGAACCCCATCGCCGTCTATTCGCTGTCGTAATCTCTTTCCAACAGTCTCATGATTTTTGTTTTATTTTATTACAAGAGATTCACACGTGGTAGTGGCACCTAACTCAATCAATCACGGTGCTTTCACCAACCCCATTCATGTCTCCGTGACTCCGTCTATCCGTTGTCATAATTTCTTCTACAATATTCTCATGATTTCTGTTTTTATCGTTTATTTTTCTTTGTTTTTATTACTATTAAATGAGTAACCTGTAGCCCCACAAAGCCGCTTCGAGAAAAAGGCACGTAAACCCCTTTTTCCCCTAGTGTTCCAAAAAAAAAAAAAAAAACCCCTTTTTCCCTTTCACATTTTTATTTGGTTGCATATAACTTTTTTGTAACTGAAAGAACAAATTCAACCGAAATTTTAAAAATCGGGCTATTTTTTTCTGTTCGTGTCATCATTAGACAGGTACATGCTAATCTTTTGTATGTCATTCGAACATCAATTTTTTTTTTTTTTAAAAAAAACAAAACACAAAGGATAAATTTTATATGTTGCAGAATCGAATGGTATTGGGACGGAAATTTCCTCAGCTTTTACAAAGGATAAAATTTATATGCTTTTATTTTGCTTTTGAAGGACATGACCAGCTCAAACTTTCTAATTAGAATATATATACGTATATTGTAAAAATGAGTTTTCATATAACGCTTAAACAATTTTTGGTCATCATTCATAATTTAGAAAGAATGTTACAAAAGGTTGCATATGTCCTATATTTAAGAAAGTAAAATTTTATATATAAATTTATGGTAAAAGCTAAAAATTGTATCAAAAATAAATCATGGTTAACCTTATACTATATTAGGTGATCAGGCAAATCTTAGTGAATATCAATATGCATAATTAACTTTAAAAAATATATTTTCCTATTTTATGTGATGAATGTTGAGGATACATGAACTTTCGGCTATTATTTTATTGCCAATGATAATAAAACGGTAGGTAAAAGGTTGAATCTGAAGAAATTGTGTAAGAAAAGGATGAAACTGTCAGGGAATACATTGCTTTGCTTATCATCAAAGGTAATAAGCTTTGGAAAATGTCTATCTAACTCCATTTCTGCTAGCACCTTAGCTTCTCCCATACTAATAGGATCCAGACGAAGATTATGTGTTAGAATAGGGGATTCTTTGTACACTGAATAAAATACGGTTAGGGGATTCTTTATGACCGTTGAAGTTAACTTTAAAAGCATGATGTAATGATTTGAGTGCATATACATAAAATTTCGAAAACTCTGGAAATGTAACATTTAGAGGTAGAAGAAGTTCTTGGCATTTACAACAAATCACAAAATATTTCAAGCATTTTCTACCGTTCTAAATTTCGCAAACTTAAATCTAATTTCTCCAGCATTTAGGCTGTGGACGATTACATATAAGTAAGTAAAATATTTTAAATATAAAACTTTATATATATATATATATAATAAATTTAAACTTAGATATTATAATTATAAATATCTAAATATATTTTATGGGATGCACCTTTTCTTTTGGGATTAGTTTTGACTTCTCTATGGAAATAGAATACTCTCAGGTTAATAAAAAAATATTTTGTACTTTTTAAATTATCTTCACTAGCCAATATCCTAATTTATATTTATAAGAACCTTAAACCAAAATATTCTTTATAAATTTCCAGTAATCTTATTATATAAAGCAGGTTTTTCTCTTATATGAGAGTGCCATGTCACTTATTCATCTCTTCTCAACATGACATGTGTCATGATTCTTGGTTAATCTTTTGTCTTTTCATTTTTTTTGGATTCATCATTAATTAAATATTTTTTTGGTATCATTTAATGAATCCCATTTTTCTACTTATTCACTGCAATTTTACTGCAATATATGTCCTTAAAAATATTATATATAACAATTTGGTTAATCAAAAGTATCTGAGAAATCTCTGTATCTAGCGTTTATTAATTTCACCGAGATTTCTTTCTTCATAAAAAGATACCTTAGATACTTTTGATTAACCAAAACGTCTTTGACATCAACTAATGATGAACAAAGTGAATCACAACTGAAGATTAATTAAAGAAATCGTATTGTGGCTTTGATCGCCGCTAACTCGATTGTACGCATGAAGAAACGATTCATTGGATTCCTGACAGGAGAAAAGTCACCGCGAGTGGTCGACATAACTCATCAATTGAATATAAAAAAATGTATAGAGTGTTTTACAA